GCTCCCTGGGAGTGCCCTTCCCCAGAGTGCACACACTGCTCATCTCCTCTCCGAGCTCACTGGCCTGCGATGCCTTTTCCTTTAGATGTGGGGCTTTGGGTCCGCCGCGCTCGGGCGGCCAGGTGCCGTCCGCCCGGGAGGGCGTTTGGGCAGGTCGGTCTTCGAGATGATGCCTGTCCAAGGTGCGTACTTAACTGGGAACGCGGATGGGCGCGAGTGTTGCTTGGTGCACGTGTCTGAGCGCAGGGCCGAGTGCGCACCTGCCCATCCGCATCCTCTCTTCCTTCTCTGGCCCCGGTGTTTTAGGGAAGGTCGTGGGGTATGGAACAGCTTCCTGCCCCAGGTCCAAGTGCACTTGGTTCTGCCTGTGTGGTGTTTCTTGTTTCTGCGTGTCGTCAGTGGGTAATGTGTGGTGCGCGTCATTGCTGATGCTCACGTAAGTGCGCATGTGTCCGGTGTGTTTTTTTTTTTTTTTTCTTTGTAGCAGAGCTTAGCTATAGAATATATCTTACGTGCAGGCAAAACACTCATAACCAAGTTTCCAACTTGGTCGTTGAGTGTGTTGGTTATTCCTAAATGAGGAAAATCGTGGGACACGGATTTTCCAAACCAGAGTCAGAGCTACTATGTTGTCCAGTCTCCCTGAATTGAAGAGTCGTCATTTCCCCAGACATCAGCTAGACGTGGCCAGGGAGCCCCTGCCCGGTTATAGCAGAGTAGGAAATGGACCATATTCCCTGTCTCTGACGTGTGCTTGATAACGTTTAGAATCATACGCACACCACAATTAACTGAACCAGACTGACAGAGCAAACTACCTCACCACCAATACGGTCCCTTTCCTGAGAGGTAAAAGACCAAAATGTACTAACTAATAACCATTATCCAGTGCTTCTCCATGAGCGTCTTCTCCGGGATAGAATGCTGCCAGAGTTCTAATGTCCACCGCACCCTACTTCCCTTCAAAGAGTTACCGTGGGGGGATAGTGGTGGGATAAGAAAAGGCCCTTTAACCCTTGTGTTGCCTTTAGGGTGGGAAGACAGAGGCACCCCTGGATCCCCGTACACACCGTAATTCAGTGTAGTAGGTGGCAGAATGTTTTTAGGAGACATAGTTTATACTCAAGGAAACTTCTTGGTAAAGGTCTTGAGCATTTGCTCCCTGGGAAACAGGGTTAACAGTATTTATTGGAGAGTGGTGGGCTCTGGGAGGGTGACTCCATGAGGTAGAGGAGTCTCTGTATTTGGAAGGCAAAGGAAGTCAGCCAAGAGGAAATATCTTGTAATCCAGATTATTTTAAAATACTTCCTTTAGGGCTGGAGAGGTGGCCCAGTCGTTTAGAGTACTTGTTACTTGGCAGAGGACCTGAGTCTGATTTCCATCAGCCACACGATGGCTGACAACCATCCGTAACTCCCAGGCACGTTGTGTGTGCATTCATACACATAAAATAGATGTTTTTAAAACATTTAAAAATAAAATACTTAGTACCGGTGTGGGTGTAGTGGCACACACCTTTGTTTTTTGTTGCTTTTATTTTTGTTTTGAGGCAAGGTTTCTTTGTGTAGCCCTGGCAGTCTTAGAACTTCCTACGTAGACCTAGTTGGCCTGGAATCTTCCTTGATCTCCTGTCTCTGCCTTCTAAGAGCTGTGGGATTATGAGGATATGCTCCGGTACTGGACAAGTCTTTCCACAATGCAGTGGGCACCTGAGAACATGTTACTTTGTACACCCGTAGGATACATTTTCGGAAGTCATCTTGTTGAGTAATGGAGCTGTAAAGGATCTGAATCTTAGCTAGTTGTCCTATTTGGACACAATCTGAAACAATATTTCCTCTGGACTAGGAATGGAGGTCGGTGGTAGGACGTTGTCTGGTAAACTTATAGGCTCCAAATTTGACCTCTAGCACTACACAAGAAAACAAAAACTGTTTGCTTTATTCTTTTTCTTCTTTTTTTTTTTGTTTTTTCTTTTTCTTTCTTTTTTTTTCTTTCCTCTTTTGGTTTTTCGAGACAGGGTTTCTCGGTATAGCCCTGGCTGTCCTGGAACTCTGTAGACCAGGCTGACCTCAAACTCATAAAGATCACTTGCCTCTGCCTCTGGAGTGCTGGGATTAAATCGTGAGCCACCATGCCCAGCTCAAAAATAGTTTTGAGGCCAGCCTGGTCTACAGAATGAGTTTCAGATAGCCAGGGCTACACAGAGAAACCCTATCTTGAAAAGAAAAATTAAAAATAGTTTTAAAATGATTTATTTTTATTTGTGTGTGTGTACACTCACACGTGTGCACAAGTATGAGTCTATGCTACCTGCAAGGGTACCTATAGAAGCCAGGAGAGGGTATTGGATCCCATGGATCTGGAGCTACAGGGAGTTGTCAGTTGCCTGACATGGCTACAGAAAACTAAACTCAGGTCCTCTGGAAGAGCAGCAAGTAATCTAAACTGCTGAGCTATCTCACCAACACCCCCCCCCAAAAAAAAGTGGGTTAAAAATTTAAGCTCAGTTTAGTGGCGTATGACTGTACAGTTCTTGCACGGGGGAGGTAGTTCAAGATCATACTCAGCTACATTTCAAGTTCAAATCCAGCCTGAGATAAATGGTGGCACCTTAAAAATCATTTTTCAGAACAGCCAGGGCTACACAGAGAAACCCTGTCTCTCAGAAAAGAAAAGATAATATTAGTAGGAGTATTTTTGAAGACCAAGAGGTCTTTAGACCAGTGGTTCTCAAATCGTCCTAATTTGGAGACCCTTTAATACAGTTTCTTATTGTAGTGACAAACATAAAATCATTTTCATTGCTACTCCATAACTATAATTTTGCTACTGTTATGAGTCATAACAAATATCTTTGTTTTCCTTATTTATTTATTTATTTATTTATTTATCTCTCATGTATTACATCCCAACCACAGTCTCCCCTCCCTCCTCTCCTCCCAGTCCCCACCCCATACCTCCCCCCTTCCCCTGATCCACTCCTCCTGTATTTCTCTCAAGCAAAGGGCAGGCCTCCAAGGGATGTCAACCAAACACGGCATAACAGTTACAATAAGAGTAGGCACCTCCCTTATATGAAGGCTGGACAAGGCAATCCAGTAGGAGAAAAAAAGGTCCCAGATGCAGGCAAAAGAGTCAGAGACAGTCCTATTCCACACTGTTAGTAACCCCACAAGAAGAACAAATGACACAACATATATATATGCTCCCTGATTGTCATTTGGGTCTCTGTGAGCCCCTATGAGCTCTGGCTAGTTGATTCTGTGGACTGTGTTCCTATGGTATCCTTGGCCCCTCTTACAATCCTTCCTCCCTCTCAGGGTTCCCCGAGCTCCGCTTAATGTTTGGTCATGGGTCTGTGTATCTGCTTCCGTCAGTTTCTTGATGGAACCTCTCTGATGATGATTATGCTGGGCTGTGGTCTACGAACATACCAAATATCACTAGGAATCATTTCCTTGGCTTTTTAAAAAAAAGATATTATTTACTTATTATGTATATGACATTCTGCTTCCATGTATATCTGCACACCAGAAGAGGGTACCAGATCTCATAACGGATGGTTGTGAGCCACCATGTGGTTGCTGGGAATTGAACTCAGGACCTCTGGAAGAGCAGTCAGTGCTCTTAACCTCTGAGCCATCTCTTCAACCCCCAGCAAATTTCATTTTTTAAAATTAATTTTACATGCATTGGTGTTTTGCCATGGGTGTCAGGTCTCCTGGAACTGGATTTATAGACAGTTGTGAACTGTCATGTGGGTGCTGGGAATTGAACCCAGGTCCTCTGGAAGAGCAGTCAGTGCTCTTAACCACTGAGCCCTCTCTCCAGCCTATGATGTCATTTTTTAACAGCTGTGTAATACTCCATTGTGTAACTGTTCCATATTGTCTTTACCCATTCTTCGGTTGAGGGACATCTAGGTTGCTTCCAGTTTTGGGCTATTATGAATAAAGTTGTTATGAATATAGCCCTTGTGGTAGGATGGGGTGTCCTTTGGATATATCCCCAGGACTGGTATAGCTGGGTCTTTTTTTTTTTTTCCGAGACAGGGTTTCTCTGTGGCCTTGGAGCCCGTCCTAGAGCTCTTGTAGGCCAGGCTGGTCTCCAACTCACAGAGATCCGACTGCCTCTGCCTCCCGAGTGCTGGGATTAAAGGTGTGCGCCACCACCACCTGGCATGGCTGGGTCTTGAGGTAGACTGATTCCCAATTTTCTGAGAAACTGCCATATTGATTTCCAAAGTGGCTGTACAAGTTTGCACTCCCACCTGCAATGGAGGAGTGTTCCTCTTGGTCCAACATCCTCTCCAGCATGAGCTGTCACTTGTGTTTTTTATCTTAGCCATTATGACAGGTGTAA